CCTCCCCTCCCACTGCTGCTGCTGCTGCTGCATCCCGCCCTTTTCTCCCACCCTTTTCTCCCCTCGCACCACTGCCTCTTCCTGCCCTTTTCTCCCTTTGCGTCGCTGCCGCTTCCCGCCCTTTGGCCGCCTCTCACCCCACGTTCAGCCCAGCTGCAAGTGGTGGTGCAGACTCCCTGACAGCGTTTTGGCCATATTGCTGAAGGCGGGGAAGTTGAGGGTAAAGGTGTGCATTGAAGTTGTGTGAGGGGAGGTAATGGGTCTCTGAGGAGAAGCGGGAAGCACCAGGGCATCTGAGTGGGCAAGGAGAGGGGTGTGCATTGGGGGGTGGCATCTTGGAAACAGCCAGGGATGGTGGTAACACCACAGCGGTGGTGGAGTTGGGAGCGGAGGGTTTGCGGGACACTGGCGTTGGTGACGATGACCAGTGGGTTTGGGCATGGTGGGAGCAGGGTCTCTGAGGGTAAACCAGAGCAGGGAGGGGGCTGTGGGGGTTTGGGAGGGCCGTGGGGTGCAGCAGGGGGGAAAGGCACTGCGGTAGCCAGCCGCAACCAAGCATGGGCAGATCCGTGGGCAAGAGCTGAGAGGAACAAGAGGCGCTGGTGCAAGGAGGGGGACAAGGCGAGTGCAAGGGGGGGTTGCAGGTGCCTTTCTCTGGGAAGAGCCATGTTCCTAGCCGACCCAACAGGATGCTGGAAACTGGCTTGGTATTAAAGCAGCATTCAGTCACAGCAATGTTTGTCAGCTGGAGGAAACATCCCATTCACTTTAGCAAGCCCAGACCAGAAGGTTGCTCACCCTCCAGAGGGTTTGCTGCACCTTGTCCCCCTTCCCCTTGGGTGTGGGGGTACCTGGTCCACCATGGAGGGATTGCCCCCAGATCCCATCCCCATGCACGGAGAAGACCAGCAGCCTCCCCCTCAGCTCCTGCTTGAGCTGAAATCCCCACAGAGCTGCAGTTTCAGAGGACTGAGAGTCTCCTCTGTTTTCCAAAAACCTCTTCTTTTTTTTTTTTTTTTTTTTTGTCATGGCTTTTCCTTTTAGATCACAAGACTTCAGTTAGGAGCTGTTGAGAAGCATTTTGTGGCCCAGATGTTCTCCAGCCCCTTCTGAACTGAGCAGCCCATTCTGCAGGTGCATTTACCGATGGTGGATTTATGTGCTTGTGTGTTTATTTCCCACTTTCTCCCCAGGATAGGAACTCAGCTCTGTAGGGAAGAATTTCATGATGGAGGAAATCATGTAGGTAAGCTAAGGGAAAGTGAGAGAAAGGAAACAGAAAAAAAATAACCAACCCCCAAAAAGCAGCAAAATTATAGATGATATATTACAATACAACTTAAAAAATTACTTACAAAACATGATACAGGCCGCCAGCTCAGCACCAGGGGGCACACCTCTGCTTTTTAAGAAAACTAAAAAGCAAAGACTGGTGCCCCTTTAAACTTCTTTTTATCAGACGGCACCAAGAAAAGGATTTTTTACTTTTTTTTTTTTTAGTTTTATTTTTTCCTCCCCTCCCTCCTCCCCCAAGCACTGGGCTGGGTTCATCTCCATGCAGAAATTCACTTCTTGGGGTTTTTTTTGGGAAATCCAAAATGACGCCGCGGGGACCAATATTGATGGTTGTATCCACTCCTTTAAATAATATAATTAATTTAAAAAAAATAAAAAAACACAGTAAAAACACAACGTCCTTCTTCCTCACTTCCTTCCACGAGCCAGAGATAGGCTTTGTCGGAGGCTTTTTAAATATGCCCATTGTAAGAGGGGTGATTTGCTGGAGGTAGGACTGAGGACAGGGCCTGGAACCCCTTTGAGCCAACAGGTGCAGCGGGGAAGAGAAGTAGCACCCTGATGGGACAGGGAAGCTTTTTTTTTTTCAAATTAATTAGCCTTGATTAGCAGAGTAGCGAAGTCAAGCGGCCGCTCCACTTGGATGAGTTGCACTGAACCAGACTACGGAGCCCGCGTAGGTCGGTGTGTTGGCAGAGGTGGACAGTGACTGTTGCTGTGGGGTTGTGCACAGGGGAGGTAACGCTCCTGGGGACAGATGCATCCCTGGGTCCGTTCCCTCCTGACCCCGAGAGACCGGCTTTGAAGGACGAGGGTTGCCGGGGTGCGAATCCGTGTGGGGAGAGAGGTACGAGAGCTCTCTTGGTGCTAATCCCAAACATGTGCTAGCGGTGCTTGACCAGCCCACCAGCGTCGTCCCGGGCTCACTCACCACGTTAGGCTTTAAAACCCTTCGGCTCTCCAGGCAGAGAGCAAACCCGAGTACCGTTCCCTCTGCTTGGCCGGGTGCGCTCCTTGAGGGGTTCCGCCTGGGGCTGTGGGGCCAGGGCAGGGGGAGGAGCATGGAAAATAAGCCCTGGGAATGCTGGGAAAGAGCACTGGGATTTGGAGGGAGATCTGGGAGGAAGGGAGCACTGCTGGACGCCGAGGGAGGTAGCCAGTGGATCTGTTAAAAATTTTCCTCTCTGTCTCTCTACATATTAAAATATAGATTTATTCTATGCGTTAAAGTCTCTTTGGCATCTCTCCAGACCCTGGCCCCCGTGGGGGTGGCAGCGGCGGCGTGTCGGTCTCGGTGCGTGTGGGCAGGACTGGCACCTCGGCTCCTCGCAGCAGCGGGTGGGTGAGGTGATGCGAGGGGGAGGCGGGTCCTGCTGCTTCACCACTCAGAGGCAGTGGGGGGATGCGAGGAGGCAAGGTTTGCCCCACTGGAGGCCAGGGGGTGGCCGGGGGGGGGGCAAGTGTGGG